GAATCTCTGGAAGGAAGGCAGAAAAAAAATTCTGAGTTTACTCCCATCATACCAAAAGATGTCTTCTAAGAAAATGTCATTTGCTAAATAATTACTTCTGTGTCAGGCATTTTATCTAAAAGAGAAAGACCTAATTAAAAGTAATTTGTAAGCTAGGTGTGCTGATTAAGTGTTAATTGTGCTCTGGAATATAACAGTATTACCCCAGTTCTCAGTCTCTCTTTTAAGCAAACCCATTTTTTATTGTTTTGGCAGCTGCATTCCAACATTGCAGAAACACACTGAGAGGAGCAAGCAGCAGCTATGTTGCAGTATGACTAAATAGATCATGTGAGAATTTGCTTTTTGTCCTCAAGACATTTTGGATCTGAATAATTTTTTTTTTCAAAAGGAAAATCAAATCCTGTTCAGAATATGACAAATATTCAGGAGATGGGGAACAGAAGCAAAAGGTCCTGTTTGGGTGACCACTATTATTCCAAAGCCTTTGGAGAGGCAGCCTAACATGGGGAAACAAGCACTGAACTATGAGTCAGGAGACTTGGGTTCAGCTCCCAGCTCCTCCCCTCGTTAGACCCTAGGAAAGTCTATGAACTGCTGTGGATGACCTCAAAGGCTTCTTCCAGCTCAAATATTCTGTAACTTCATGATTTTAAAAGAATCCTGAGAAATGGCCTTGGCAGTCTTTGTTCTTGACTTTCCCTTTAAATTCATATTCTCTGCATCTAGACCAGATTGTAAGCACGCAGACTGACAATACTTTAGATCAATAACAGAAACTGTCCATATCTTGAAATGCTGTGGCTTGTGATAAATTTCTTATCAATTTAGAAAAGAAATATCTACTCCTGCATACTCTGGCAATCCCTGCAAATTTTCTTCTCCCTGCCTCCCCTACCCACAAAACAAAACAAAACAAAAATTTACTTGAAGCATCAACTAGAAAAGTAATTTTTAAAGTAGTCAATCTCTCTCTCTCTCTCTCTCTCTCTCTCTCTCTCTCTCTCTCTCTCTCTCTCTCTCTCTTTCTCTCTCTCTCTTCCTTTCTCTTTCCTTTCTGCCTCTCTTCTCCTTTCATCTCATCTTCCCTTTCCTCCTTCCTCCTCTTCTTCCTTCTCTTTCTCTCTCTGTGTTTCTCTCTGTGTCTCTGTGTTTGTCTCTGTCTCTGTCTCTCTCTTTGTCACACACACACACGTACACACATACACACACAGAATAAAATCGTTATAACTTCTTTTCCATGACTTAGAACCATAGAATCACAAAATGTTAGATCTGGAAGGGATTTTAGAATATCAAACAAAATAGAATGCTGGAATTGGAAGGAAACCTAGAATATAGACATAGAATGTTGTACCTAGAAAGAACCTCAGTAAGTAAAACACACACTGACAGCTCAAAATGACTTTAGACTGGGGCAGCTAGGTGGCACAGTGGATAGAACTCTGGCTTTGGAGTTAGGAGGATCTGAGTTCAAATCTGGCCTCAGACACATAACACTTACTAGCTATGGGATCCTGGGCAAGTCACTTAACCCCATTGCCTAAGAAAAACAAACAAAACAAATCATTTTAGACCAAAGGTTCTTAACATAGGGTCTGTGTATCCTTGGATATATTTCAGGGATTCTATGAACTTGGATAGAAAAGTATACAACTTTTTAATTTCAATATAATTACTTTCTTTTGCAATCCTATGTATTTTATTTTATACAACTAAAAACATAATTCTGAGATGGGGTCCATAAGCATCACCAGTCTGCCAGAGAGAGGCATGACACAAACACTAAGAACCTCTGCCTTAGAATATAGATACATATTTGAACTGCATTTTTTGGGGGGGGAGGAGGATATAGAGAATTCACAGGTAAAGAAACTTCCTCTACCATTGCAAGTCAGCAGCTTCCCTTGCATTTTATAGTCTCAGAGAGTTGCTTAGAGCAATAAGGAGTAAATAGCCAGCCAAAGCTCACATAGCCAGTATGTCTCAAAGGCAGAACTTGAACCCAGGCCTCTGTGGCTCCAAAGCCAGATCTGCATCCACGGTGCCAAGATGCCTTTCATAGAACATAGAAATCAATTCAAATCAACAATTATATAGTTAGTAAATGTCAAGGTTGAAAAGGAATTTAGGACGTAAAACAAAAAGAGTTAGAAGAAACAATATAACCCAGGCAGTTTGCCGTGGTGGAAAGTACATTGGACCTGGATTTTGGGGAGAATTGGATTCATACACCACCTCTGACTGTGGATGACCACTGGGCAAGTCACTTAATCTAAGCTTCAACTGTCTCATCTATAAAATGGAGATAAGTTAGTATATCATGGGCATCTTCCTAAACATACCTCGTACCCAATGTTCCTCAAACATCATTCTATCCTAGCTTTCCAGGGTTGTAACTAGTGTAGAAGAAACCTGAATTTATCTAAGTACTTCATTGGGAACCCTTACCTCAGGCTAATGCCATGAAGATAAAGCTTGCTGTATGAAAGTCATTACATGTACTCCACCTTTTCCTAAGAAGACAGGACCTTCTATTCAGTAAGACATCCATCACTCTTCCCATTCCTGGCATCATTTTAGGCACCATTTTCCCTTCCCTCTTCCCCAAATGTGACTCAAATATCAGACAACAAGTTGCTAACATAATTAATTAGTGTAATTAATTAATATAATTTGCATTCATTTGGCATGGCCTGGTCTGAATGTCAGTAGCTGGAGGGGCTCCTCGGTCATCCTGGTAACAGCTCCAAGGTGCTTGCTTATCAGTGTCCCCTGCAGTAGGCTTACAGAGGCAAAACTGATTGTAGTTCTCCTTGTCATATCTACATCCCAGGGTGTTAATAAGGGTCAAGTAACATAATGTATAGATCACTTTGCAAACCTTAAAGCTCTATGTAAATGGCACCTATTATTATTTTCTTGACATATATATTATCATTATTATTCATATCAGTACCATTGATGGAGCTAGTTGGAGGGAGAAGCAGAGTTGGGAGACAGGAAGACTCGAGTGTGAATCCTGCCTCAGATACTTGCTAGCTGTGTGACCTTAGACAAGTCACTTAATCTTTATTTGCCTCAGTTTCATCATCTGTAAAATTGGGATAATAATAGCACCTGCTTCCAGGGTTGTTGTGAGGACAAAACGAGGTAATGTTTGTAAAGCACTTTACTAACCTTAAAGCACTATGTAAATACCATCATTATTGTTGTTGTTACTATTATTATTATTAAACTGGAAAGGCCTTTAGAGCATAGAACATAGAATAAGAACTAGAGGTGATCTTATGATTGTAAGGGCAGCAAGGGGCCTTAGAAAAGAGTCCATTAGAGGGAAATGGACCTTATAGATCATCTATTTCAGATCCATTTTGCAGAGAAGAAAACTGAGGCTCTGGTTGGGGAAGCAAATTGCCCCCAGTTATAGCACTACTAAGAAATCTGTCCTCATTTTTAAAGGATTTATTGAAGTCTCAGTTTTATCTCTAATATATTTAGGCTGTAGCAGGTAGCGATGTCTGAAATGAGACAGCAGGGCTCATTCACTAGTGCTTCACTTTCTCATTTTGTGTATTTCAAATAAAAATGAATTTTCACTTCAATGTTGATTTTGAAATAAATCTTTTTTTCAGAGTTTAGCAAAGGACATTGCATCTTTCCTCCAGGGGGTGGCTTGTTCCTTAGATTGTCAGGTCTTTGCATAACTCTATGAAAACTCAGCTATGAATAAATTATGAGGCCTTGGTAGCTGCTCAACTTCATTAAAGATGGGTTGGCAAAGACAATTGATGGATTAGTCTTAAGGAATTACAATGACAGTGTGCTCTCCATGGTCTCTGTCTCACTTGATGAAAACATAACTAAGGTTACTAGCCAGTAGGCCATTTCTACCTTTTTTGTGAATTCTTTATAATCGTAATAGTATCATTTTGTTAAGTCTGAAGGTCAATCTTAAGTTGTTCCATTTTCTACTGAGCAGCATTCTTATACAGGAAGGAAGAAGGAAGCTAGCAAGCAAACACTAAGTGCCTACTATGTGCCAGGCACTTTGCAAATAGTATCTCATCTGATCCTCATGATAACGCTGAGAGGTAGGTGCTATTATTATTCCCATTTTACAAGTTGAAGCACCTCAGGCAAACAGATGAAGTGACTTGCCCAGCATCACACAACTGGATTTGAACTCAGATCTTTCTGAATCCAGGTCCACCACTCGATTCACAGCATCACCTTGCTGCCTGATGTACTGGAAAGAACACTGAAACATAGTGTTCACTGTTATTATCTGGCCTTAGTTAAGGAAGATATTCTTTCTGGACTAGTCAGTTTCTTTTTTTTCTGTAAAATAATGGGCTTGTACTAGTTACCCTTTTTCCTGTTAAAAGCTCCTTCAGCAGTGTGGTGAAGCCTATGGACCCCTTTTCAAATATTTTGAAGCATTCTTAAATAAAGAAATGCTAAATTTCAGCTAGAGATTAGTAAAAGGAAAGATGTAGCTTCCTCCTCTTCCAAGTTCATGGACCCCCTGAAATCTACCAACAGATTCTTGGGGGTAGGGAGTCTGTGGACTCCAGATTTTGAATCTCTAGACTAGATGATTTCTAAGGTACCTTCTAGACCTAAGAATACAATCCTATGGATATTTTAGTTCCACAATATACCCTTGGGCAACTCTGTGGAGCATTCCGATCCTCAGTCTCCCAGCCATAAACTAGAGATATGAATACACTCTTTACCTCGCTGAGTTTACTGAAAATCAAGTGAGATCATGTACAGAAGTGACTATTAAGGGCTATATAAATATGAGCTATTATTATTGTGCATGACATTATTTTAATTAAGTACCTGTGCTTAATATTCAACTCTCAAGTTGCTATATTTGATTCTTGAGCTTTGTGACTAATGTGGGGGTATCTTTCAACTTCAGGTGTTGGGAAGAAAATGTAGGCAATCATGGCTTAATTATAGTCTTTATTTCTGAATGTTTTCTCTTGCAGAAACCCCCTTGAGTCCACTCAAGCCGCCCCACTCGGCCAGCACCCCAGGGGTGGCCATGTCTTCACCACATCGTCGAAGAGATTCAGACAGATACTGTCAGCTCTGTGCAGCCTGGTTCAATAACCCTCTGATGGCCCAGCAGCATTACGAAGGCAAAAAACACAAAAAGAATGCTGCCCGGGTGGACTTGTTAGAACAACTAGGGAAGACGCTGGATCTGGGGGAGTTGAGAGGTAAGGGGAATGAATTACTCAGGAGGAGAAGGTGGGGGCTCTAAGACAATGGGGATTATCTAGTTCTGGTGTTTCCTGTTCTGTGCCTTCTCCATCCTCAGACACTGAGTGGAAAATACCAGGGTCCTAGCCACCAGGTATATTGGGGCAGGAATGGTCACTGACATTCCTGTGCTATCTCATATAACTCTCACAACAACCCTGTGAGGTGGGTCCTGTAGGTATTATGATCCCCATTTTACAGATGAGGTAAACATGGTTCATAGAGGTTCAGTGACTTGCTAATGGGCACACTGACTTGGGTCAAAGGCTGGGTTTCAACTAAAGTATTCCTGACTCCAAGTCCTGGGCTTCATCCATTCATTACCTCACACTGCCTCTAGACCAGGGAGTCTTAACCTGGGACCTGTAACCTTGCCTTTTTAACATTAGAAAACTGTCTATGATATATATGTATAATAATTATAACTAGCATTTCTATCGTGCTTCCCAGGCATTGTACTAAGTGATTTTTACAAATATTATTTTAGTTGATCCTTCCTTACAACCCTGCAAGGTAGGTGCTACTATCATCCCAATTTTATAGATGAGAAAACTGAGGCAAACAGAGGTTAAATGACTTGCTCAGGGTTACACAGCTAGTAAGTGTCTGAGGTGGCATTTGAACTCAGATCTTCCTGATTTCAGACACTGAACTGTGTTTACTGCACCACATAGTTGTGTCATCATATATATGCTGGCACATGTATACACATATACAGATAAACATACACATGTGTTGCATATGTGTGTGTATGTACACACACATAACCAATTTGGTATATTGTGTATATGTGTGTGTACACACATATATACACATATGCATAGGTATACACACATATATATGTACACATACATATATATATATACATATATATACATACATTTATTTATATATGGTGGCAAATATTGGCTATGTGTACACACGTACTTATACATACTCTTAGTTTTCTGTGCATTTTGTTTTATGCATTTACAAACAACATTCTGAGGAAAGGCCCACAGGCTTCACTAGCCTGCCAAAGAAGCCACATCAACAAAAAAGGTGAAGAATCCATGCTGTAGCTAGAGGAATACTGAGCTCTGTAGATAACAGTACCATAAAATAAGTAGCAGTTGCTTCCTTTTTCCTCTCTGTTTAAAAATTACTCCTACCATGTATTTTCATAGGGAGGTGTTGTGGTATTGTGAAAAGGGCATTCGTTTTGGAGTGCTGCTCTCGAGTCCTGATTCTGTCACTGAGTGACCTTCACCAAGATGCTTAATCTTTCTGAGCTACAGGTTCCTTCCTCTTCTATAAAATGAGAGGTTCAGATTAGGTGATTCCTAGTTCTACATTATCTGACTCCATCAAAGCCATTTAAACTGATCTAGGTGCTTTCTTGTAGGCCATTTCTTCAACATATCTCATGATTAAAAAACCCAGCAACTTTAAGATATTACATCACTATGTATCCCTCTTAGTTAAGGGAAAACTAAGGGTTTAATAATTCAGAACATTAAATGATTCCTCTGCAAGTGCCTTGGGAAACCTGTTATTATCACCTTTTCTTGGGGGACTGCCCTCACCATAGAATTTATCCAAAACAGTGTAAGAGCATCTCATAGCTGAAGGCCAAGCTGTACCTACCTCTTCCTAGGAATGAGCACAGTTTGTTAGGGGATTCCATCATGGCAGGGCACTGAAGGAGAAAAAGAGAATTTTATTTATGTTTTCTGTCAGATATTATGACTTGAAGAAGAGTTATTCCTTGAGGAAATTCTCCTTCCCTGTTCTAAATGATTGGTGCTGCATCTTTTATGTACAGACACATATCTTAATGACTTGGGCATCTGAATTTTTTAGCATTTAAGCAGCCAGTCTTTTATATAAAAGACAAAAAGGATCCACCTTGACTTGATAACTCAATGTGACTCTGACTCAGTCACACGTGGAATGTAATTAGCATCGAACAAACTGTCCTTGAAGCTGACCTTTTTGCCAGCCGTATGAAACATCCTGATAATATGCGCTATCTACACTTACTTAAAGGTTTATCATAGTACACTGCCAAGTCCTGAGAGCTGAGCACTTGGGTTGCCTGGCTTCTTTTAAAGATATTGATTATGTCATGATTGCTGGGAAATCTCCAATGGATTCATAATGATAGCCTGGAAAGGAATTAGAAGTTATTAAAAGAATAATATGAGTGGGGGATCTTACCTGTGATAACCCTCGATCCTAGTACTGTCCTTCTATGATTATGTCTAAATGATCCTGCATAGAGCTTGTTTATACATAGTTGTTAGCATGCTGTCTCCTTCGTTAGATGGTGAGCCCCTTGAGGGCAGGGATTGTCTTTTGCCTTTCCTTGTGTCCTTAGTGCTTTGCACATGACACTTAATTATTGCTTATTGACTGATTTTCTCACTTTAAGTGGGCAATGAATTTGCCTGAGGTGGAGAAGGGTAAAGAAGCCTGAAAGCTTACTTACTTGGGATTCAACACCAGGTCTATATCTGGCAGGGGAAGGTTGGAGACTAAATGAGGGGCTGAGAGGGGGGTGGAGAGTAGAATTTGCAAGTCACGCTTAAGCTACTCCTGCTCTCCTACCCCACTGTCATATAATGATTCATGGATCCCTTGAAGTGCTAAAATATTCTCTCCTCTGAAATATATATGTATATTTGTATGACTGTGTGTATATATATTTCAGAGCACTATATATATTTTAGTGAATATATTTGCGTGTATATATAAGAAAGTACTATATGTATATAGTTATGTAATTTTATATGTATACACATATGCATAAATGCACACTAGTGTATAAAATATATGTGTGTGTACACATGCACACATGTGTATACACATCACACTAACAGCACATGTGCATATCGCACATACATATGGGTGCATATGTACATGCATATTTAGATACACGTATATGCATCTGTATGTATGCATACTGATATACACACACAAAGTGTCCCAAACCTCTTCATTCATTTCTAAGCTATTTAACATTAAAATTACACTGGCTCAGGGGAAGCCTTGTATATAAGCTATCTTTCTTATTCTATATTTTTGGTCTTTATATTCTGTGTTGTTATTGGTTATAAACCTTTTTTGTGCTGGGGAGATGCTGCAGCCATCAATAGAAACAGGTAATTTATGACAGGGTCTGAGTAAGGATGAGGATTTCAGTTCTGAACATGTTGAGTTTAATGTTCTGCTAGGTCATCAAGATTGGAGTGTTTAGGAGGCACCTGAACATGTGAATGTGGAGCTCAAAGGAGAGATAGGAGAAGAGTCTATAGATCTGAGAGACATCTTTAAAGGGATGACAATTGAAGCCATGGGTGAAGAAGAGGTCTCCGAAGGGGAGGGGTTGTAGAGAGAGGAAAGAGAGGAAGGGTAAGGATATCTTAAGAGAAGCATGAACCTTAAAATCAGGAGTTAGGCAGGTGGGAAATGCATCAGGATATGTAGCAGAAGTCCTTGGGGAAGACAGTGCCATAACAAAAAGGAATGGGTGATCCCTGGTATACTTCCTGCAGAAAGATCAACAAGAATGATACTTGAGGTAGGATCATTGAATTTCACAGCTAAGCCATCATGACGTTTCCAAAGAATGGAGCTAGAAACCAGATTGTAGTAAGATGATGAATAAGTAGGTGGGAGGAAATGTTACCATCCCTTCCACCATTCCTGTCCCCCAAATTGGACTGTCATTCAGTCTTTATTTCTTTAGTTTGTTCACAAAAATACAGTGACAGACTGTATCTACTGCATCCTCTATGACTTAGGTCACACAGATAATAAATTGCACACTTGGGATTCAAACCCAAATTCCCTAACTCCAAATCTCAAATTCTGTCTCTCCTGGAGTCATTAAATGGCGGGAAAATAAAAATTATATACACATACATACGATATATAGTCCTATGTGTGTGTATATACACATGTGAATATATGTATATACAGATATTATTCTATATCATAAATATGTATGGATAATAGAAGTTACATACATACATGGATATATAGCTATTATATCTCTCTCTATAACTACATATCTCTTTTATACAGACCATATTTCCACTTTTCTTCTTGCTTTCCCTTCCATGTCATATATGTGTGTAAATACGTATCTGTGTGTATATATGTGTGTGTGTGTGTGTGTGTGTGTGTGTGTGTGTGTGTGTATCTGGGGGGTGTTTACATATGGGCATACACACATATATACACATATATAAATAGTGTTTGAATTACTTGGGTAAAGTAATAATGTTAAATTTAATTTTGTAACAATGGTGGTCATTCATGCTGCCAGCTAACACCAAGCTTACTCAGAACAGTTGACCTTAACCATATGAAACCAGACTGAGCTAGATTCTCCAGTTTTAATTAGTGCTCTGTCCATTGAGCAGTGGATTTTATGCCATATATGTGTATTTCATTGCTCTTTTGTTGTGTTTTTAATTTGGTGACTTTAGGATATTATTCTGCCTAAGACGTGGCTCTTAAAGAGCATACTTCATTGACTCCTAGAGATATTGCAGGACCACTGGTATGAGTAAATCAAACATGTCAAAGGTCATTCAAAGCCACAATGAAGCAAGATCAGTAGCACTAAAAAGGAAAAAAAAATGTGGTCCCAAATGGAAAACACCACCAAGAACTGATAGGTCATTGCTGTGTAATAGCCCAGTTAATTCTCAGAAAATGAGAAAAGGCCTATAGAAGGACCTAGCAGTTGGAGAGGTTGTTAATGATATCTCTGCAGTGAGGCAGAGATTTCTCGAAATTGAAAAATCAGTGAAAAGGGAAATAAAAAACAAAACAAACAAAAAATCCAAACAGCTGCTAGACTCTGTTATGAAGGGGAAAAAAAGGCTTCTCATGGGCAAGACAATACAAATACAGAGGTAGTAAAGGTCGCAAAATAGGAAATTTTCCTAATGAATCTCACTTTTTC